GAGATTCTTTTCATCTGAATTATATTTAACAGCCCAAGTCTAAGTTGATGTGGGGCAGATTTCTTTCTGGCGGGGGGAAAAAAAATCTAAAAGGAAAATGGGGGGGAAAAAAAATCCGATACAGAGGGTGTTGATTTCTTGTCTATCTTTTGGGCTGGGAAAACGTCTATGGCTGCTCCTAGGTGTGCTGGTGTGATTCAGCTGATGGCTGGGGGTGTGGGGGGGGAAGCTGCTTCAAAATACAGTGCGAGGGTATTTTGTAAGTGGGGTATTTTCGTAGGAAGTGCCGTGGGAGCCCGAGGCGGCCACGGCGAGGTTAGACCGGTTAAAATGTGGCCGGGGTGGCAGGTTAAATATTGTCGAAATGGTAAAAGCCAGCTGAAAACTTGAGAGCCCGCTCCTGGCAGGGGCAAGAGAGCGGGGCGGCCGCAAGGCAGCGGTGGGGACGGCGAGCCCAGCCTGGCGATGGGGTCCCCTCTCCCTGCCCACACCTCACCCGAGCCGAGCTTAATGCCCACATCCACCATATCTGCCAGACACTGCAGAGGAGGGGTCATGGCCAAGGGTACACTCTAACAGCCTGAGGTATTTTTGATTTTTTTTTTCTTCTTCTTCTTCTTCTTCTCCTTCTTCTTCTTCTCCTTCTCTGATTTTGATAGAGGAAATCAAGTCTGATACTCCAACAAGCAATTGGCTAACTGCAAAGAGTGGCAGAAAGAAGAGGTGTCCTTATACTAAACACCAAACACTGGAATTAGAGAAAGAGTTCTTATTCAATATGTATCTCACTCGAGAGCGCCGTCTAGAGATCAGTAAGAGCGTAAACCTCACTGACAGGCAGGTCAAGATTTGGTTTCAAAACCGCAGAATGAAGCTCAAGAAGATGAGCAGGGAGAACCGAATCCGGGAACTGACCGCTAATCTGACCTTCTCTTAAACCCTAACCCCGGGGGGGGCACCAGTGAGGAGTGGGCACAGCACCGCCACTTGCTAAAGGCAGGAGAGACTCTGGCAAAACCCGGCATTTTCCAGTTTGGTTTTGGTTTTGGTTTGGGGGGGGGCGGTTGGTTGGTTTTTTTTTTTGGTTTTGTTTTTTTTTTCTCTGATAGAATGTGACTCTTCGTCCTTCTTTTAGCGCTGCAAGTGAATATGTATTACTATGATGAGTATATATAAATCCTAGCACGTGTAATTTATTTTTGTTCTCATCGTAATGCAGGGTAACTATTATTGAATATTATCATTTGGTCTTAACTTATTGGAACTGTCGAACATCCAAGCAATGTGACTTTTTTTCATGTTTTTACTAACAAAATGGTATTTATGTGGGGCTGTTACACGGGCCATAACGTTTTGAGTCCATTCAATACTTTAAGAAAAAAAAAAGGGGGGGAAAAACTTTGGGGGCGGGGGGAAAGAGAAGCACATTATAATGTAACTATCCTCGCAAATGAACTTAGAGATTGTCCTTCGTAAAATGGAATATTTCCTTCTTCTCCATTGTAGACATTTCCTTGTGGTGCATATGTGGAATAGTAGTCGTTCAGCAGCAATATGTCCTTCTTGTGCATGTTCTGTTCGCATGTATAATGCAATAAACTCTGTAAACTATTGCGGTCCCTCTGGTTTTCTACAAATGTTTAAATTACGGATGCAGGTTGGTCTTCTGATCTTTCTCTATCAGCAGCTCTTTGGACTGATGTACCTTCTTTGCCATTTTCTGGTCTTTGTGTGTGTGTCTGCCTCCTGGTTTTCTTTCTTTCTTTTTCATCCTTTTCTCTTCCCCCCCCTCCCTTCCTTTTTTTTAGGGGTGGGGTGGAGACTGGGGCGGGAAATGATGTAAACTTAATTCATTTATAATTGTGCCTGTAAACAAACGATTAATTGATAAAATGTTGTGTGATGTTCGCAGTCTAACAAAGTGAATGCAAAAAAAAAAAAAAGAGAGAGAGAGAAAGAAAAAAAAAAAAAAAAAGAAAAACGTAGTAAAATATTATGACCTAAACTGGACATCCTCATCCAATCAACTCATAAATGGTAAGTGATAAAAAAATCTTTCTACTACAAGCTGTCAGCAATATGTGTGTCATTTTATTTGACGTTCGTATGTTGATTTAAAAAATAACAGTCACTGCGTGCTTACAATGTGTAGACTTTGATTTCGTGTCTTTACTGGCTTAAAAAAAAAAAAATCATACCAAATGCAAAGCTGGGTATAAGTAAATGTTAAGGAGTTCCGTTCTTGGTCAGCTCAAGAGCTTTCAGAAGATGGTGGATGGGAAAATATTCCCTCAAACATCTGGCAGGGTTGGCTTTTTTGAGCAGAGACGCTCCCAAGCGTGCTTACAAAAGTACACCAGCCTCCTCAGACCTACTTTTGTCGCCCTGCACCGTTTCTGGTTGCTCAGAGATGGTTTTATTTCGCGCAATTCCATTTTAGTAGCACGCATCCAGATAATGAAGTTCACGACTCTTAACCCTTTCTGTACGTAGCTGAAAAATGTTATTAGCAGGGCTCTGCGCTGGGGGCTGGGGAAGGGCGTGTGGGGGAGAGAGCGGGTGAGCGCCTGTGCAAGCAGAAATACGAAGCAGAACTGCAAATGGCTTGCAAATGAACATGACTCCAAATTGAAGTGCAAATACTGGGGCATACTCTCACCTTCAAACAGTACTGGAAAAATAGCGTGGCTGCTGCTTGCGCGGGGAAACCAGCTTGCTCGCAGTCAGCGCCCATTCCTCCCCAAAGCAGCTGCTAAATCAAGAAATTAAACGCAAGATAGTGCCAACGTTGTCCGACTTGGTGACCCCGATGCTGCTCGTGTTGCAGCTGGTGGCGTTGTATTTTGCTCTCTTCTCCCTGATACTTGATTTTAAGCCAATACTTTCTCATGGGCACGTTTACTCGTAGGGCAGAGGCATATTTTCCTCAAACCAAAGCATCACCATTTTGAAGCTGCGGGAGCCGCCAGCACGTAGGTGTTTTGTGCTTGCTCTCGTTTCGAAAACAAACACCAGAACGGTGCTCAAAAAAACCCAAACCAACCCCTCTTTAAATATTGCATACATTCGAACCGTCTTTTATTTTTCCTTTAAAGATACTCGCTACATCACCAAAGAAGTTACAGCAGTGGGAAGTAATTAGCTGGCTCCGAACCAAATGTTTAAAGTATATAAAAAAAAAAAAAAAAAAAAAAAAAAAAAGAGGCTCACTCCAATCTGCCTGCTTTATCAATTTATATCTGTGTGAAGCGAGGGGGAATTCTTCGCCATAGCACAAACCCTGCTTCTGGAGACGAATGTAAGAGAAGGGAAGCGCAAAGGAAAATATGAAAGCGAGATGACCAAAAAAACCCACAAACCCACCAACCAAAAAAAAACAACCCAAAAAAACGCTTTTAAAAAAAGGGAAAAAGAAAAAAAAAAAAGAGAGAAGAAAAAAGGAAGAAAACAACCTGAGAGAGTAATAAATCATTAAATAAACAGGAATTTCAGTCCTTCCTCATACCGGCCGGCGAGTAGGAAGTGTTTTCCCAGTGCTGTTGTTCGTGCCCCGGCGGGCCGTGCTGCAGGCTCCCCACTAACTCTCTGCCTTTCCTCCAGATCCCGGGGCAGCCACCGTCCCTCGCTCGGGAGAGCAGGCGTGGGCAGAAGACCATGGGTAACCTAGCTTTCCATACTAACCGGGCACCGTGTGTCGCTCGGGGAAGGATAACCGGGCCGGGAAGGGAGAGGAGGGGAGGGAAGGGAAGGGAAGAGAAGAAAAGCGGGCAAAAATCTCACGTAGGCATTGAACGTGGCCAGCGCGGCCCGGCCCGGCTCCCCCTGAACTAGGGGCGGAGGAGGCAGCTCTGCCGGCG